TCTCTGGAATCATTTTTGGGGTGATGGTGATCAGCAGCCACAATCACATCAGTAAGCACTATCGCTGTGCGGCTCCAGGTCACAGCTCTGGACAGAGATCAGAGAGCATTGGACCGCCTTGGTACATTGGCTGAGCGGCAGGCCGAGTGGTTCTCAGACATATTACAAGCGGGCAGATTGGGTGGACAGAGAGGAACACAGATGTGTCCAGATAATTCACTTGGTACCAATCGATCAAGACAAAGAAGTGCCAGCCCCTCTTCAGTGGCACGAGGCAGCGTCAAGTGGCAACTGCTCTACCCGATCGTTACAGGTGTGATTCCCCCCAGTGTTTGCAACAGTGTATTCTGCATATATATATATAGTATATACATATAGTAAGGGCTCCGCCCTGGTGCCGCCGGCCCCTTTTCTTGGGGGAGGAGCTGGAAGACCAGAAGCCGGACAGGGATTGCTATAACCATACACCGGCTATGTCCTCAAGACTCTGTATTCTTGATTTCTTTGACCGGTGCTTCTGCCACACTACGGATGCGCTAGTGTATGCACGGCCCTGCCGGCTGCCGAGAGGCTTTTGAGGGCTGGCAAACGGCGCTTTCGAAACGCCTAAGGAGTGACATGCGCCGGCTTTGGCAGGCAAGGCTGCGGTGCAGGCATGTGCAGCCGAAGGTCCTGGGAAGGGGTGTGGAGCCTGGCCAACGGCCCTGCTGGGTGCCGAGAGGCTTTTGAGGGCTGGCAAACGGCGCTTTCGAAACGCCTAAAGAGTGACATGCACCGGCTTTGGCAGGCAAGGCTGCGGTGCACCGGCTTTGGCAGGCAAGGCTGCGGTGCAGGCATGCAGCGTGCGGCCAAGGAGTGACATGCACCGGCTTTGGCAGGCAAGGCGGCTTTGGCAGGCAAGGCTGCGGTGCAGGCATGTGCAGCCAAAGGTCCCGGGAAGGGCTGTGGAGCCTGGCCAACGGCCCTGCCGGCTGCCGAGAGGCGTTTGAAGCCTGGCAAACAGTGCTTTCGAAACGCCCAAAGAGTGACATGCACCGGCTTTGGCAGGCAAGGCTGCGGTGCACCGGCTTTGGCAGGCAAGGCTGCGGTGCAGGCATGCAGCATGCGGCCAAAGTCGTTGGTGATGGCTTCTTGCTGCGCTGTCCCAGGCGCCGCCCCGCTTAGGCCAAGGCTAAGCAGGGGTCGGCGGATATAAAGCATCCAGGTTATGAACGCGTGTGCTCAGGCTTGGCTCAAACCAGGGCCGTTGCGCTTTCGTGGTACGAAAACAAACGGATCTGGTCGAGATTCATTCTGGTAGGGGAGCCGGTGCTGTAGACCGTGTTCCCAGTACCGGACTTTCACAGTGGCTCACAGATCCATTGTGTGTTGGTTGAGCGTGTTTGGCAGCGTAAGCTGACCTCAGTGGATCTTGATTGATTGCGCGTGAATGGAGCACTGTTCCTTGCAGGACTTCGATTCAGATCTATGATCTAGTACCCATGGGGCTGCACCGTTGGAGACGAAGAGCGGCTCCTACATGCAGCAGCCGGACTCCATGAGTGGGAGTTCAGGACCAGGGTCTGGAGTTCACCAACCAGAATCCAGAAGATCAAGAAGGAGACTGCTCCGTGTCCACACGTCCTGTGGATCGTCGACCCCTACGAAGACTCCAGAAAGCAGACGCGGCAAGAAACACAGAAGACAGTCGATCGCATCGGCAGCTGGAGGAGATGAAGGGGAGATGGACTTTGCATCTCCCAAGACTGTCTTGATGGATGATCCCTTTTCTACACTGGACACAACTATGGACAACTATACAGCGGCCTCGTACACCTGAATCGACGAAACTGAAAGTTAAAGAGGGGGGCTGGTTCATCAATGCTACTTGCAGGGGCATTTTATAGTGTCAGTCGCAGCCATCCATGTCCATGCCACGGACGGATCAGTTTCCTGAGCAAGATGCAAGAAGACCTGTGCAGACCCTCTAAGAACCGAGCCCGCTAGCACGCGAAAACACCCAAACAATGACTCACGTACACGACTTTTTGGAAGCCGTTACGCTGCGGCACTTGTGGCACCATGACTGACAAAGAAACTTCTAGCGCAAATCGTTCAATTTGAAAAACTTGCTTTCATATATATATATATGTACATACCAATCGCCCAAAGCATTTCGCGTGTACTGTGTACATATGAGTGTGTATGGTTTTCTCCAAAAAACATGTTTTTGCGGGCTCTTTTGGTTTCCAAACCGCGCCCTCTCACGAGATGATTTCCCCACTTGTCTCCCCACTGACAACCTGTCATGGCATGATTTCCCCACGTGTCTCCACGCTTGTCCCATTGCAACTTGTGGGTCGGATCCCCTGAAATTTTCTCAATACAACCATGAGCGCCGGACGGCCACGATGGCATGTGCCGCCGGGTCAACCTTCGTTTGCTCTAGTTATTTTTTCCCACATAGGGCAGCGGCATGTTTCTGAACACGCGTCGAAATGCGCAGACGGTTTTCTGACTGTGTTTGCGCTGGCCGAGCTTTTGACTGTGGAAATGAACCGTCATGTCTTTCAAAACACATGCTTGCATTGGCACAGATGCTATATAATTGGAAAGTACACATGGGTGTCTTGGTAACAAAACGAGTTCAAACTTGGAAATTCATGGTCGTGTTTCTGAAGAGGGCCCTTTCTATTGGTCAAAATGCACAGCGTCGTGACATGTTCTGAGAAGGCATGCTTGTATTGGGCGAAATACATTGACGTATTTTCGACAAGAACCAGCGGTGTGTTTTTGAAACCACAGAGGTTTGTGTTTTGAATACGTCACGTTTTGATAATGTATGCCATGGCCATTAAACACCAATTGAACAATGCTGTTTGCGGTCGGGGCTGGTATGTACATATACAGTGAGATTGGGAAGAACACATTTTGCAAAAGTGGTTTTCTAGCAAAGTTGCAGCTTGACTTGATTGCACAACTGATAGATCTGCAATCGTTTGCCTCATGTCCCACTTGCGCAGGGCTGCAATGAAATTTGCGGTTCCGTGTGCTGCACACTGGCTGACTCGGGAGACCTGCTGGCTGCGGTGGAGGAGTTGCTTGACAAAGTCAGAGGATATAGAAGAGGGTATAGAGAAGATCCACACATGAACCCAACAAAAGAAAACCATATAAACCACATGCCTTGAACATTTTTATTCAACACATTTTCAATGTTCTGCACCAGTATCCGGGAGGGCACGGGCAGAACTATTGGTGTGATGTGCTTGTTCACAATGTTGGGATGAACCTCCACTTGCTTCATGGCAATTTTGTTCCTGCTTCCAAGAATAGCATTCTACTAGGAGCAAGGACGCTACTAGGGGCGCATGGCCACTAGGAGCACGGACGCTACCATGGACTGTCGACCTGTCGGATCAGGGCTGAACCGTGTGAGGCTCGGGCACTTCCAGTTGGTGATGGTGAATCGGCACCTCCATCGGCCCACTCTGCTGGAAATCGTTGACCTGCTAGCGCCTGGAGGCAGGGGTGACATCAGCTGGCTGAAACCTAGCAGCTAGCACTCAGAGGAGTCCCGAACCTGCAGTTTTTCAAAATTTGTGGTTGCGGCGGGTTGCGATTTGCCAAACTTACCTTTGAGATCCTTTCAGTTTTTCTTTGCTGCAAAGCCAGGCTTGCTTCTCTTTCACACCTTCATGGAAGGCACTGCCAGGGCGATGGTCGTGAGAGCGAGATATAGATACCTCCAACCACCTTGGCTCGGGTATGGCTCAACTTTCTTGGCATGTAGGTTCATGCTTCAAACTCTTAATTCCAAACCCTCGACTCCATGCAACTGTCCCTAGGCTGCTCCCATCCCAAAGACCCTGAGCACCTCTTGCGGCCGGGTGAGCTTAGCAGAACCTTTGGCAATGCTTTGGAGCTTCTGAGGGACGAGGCGGCTGGGTGATAGGGACGACTGTCGATCGCAAGAAACTGATCATGAGGCCAAAGGGAGAAATCTATCTAAAAACAAACAGAACCCTTGCATCTCTTCGGCTTCAAGCTCCCTTGGCTTTTGGCAAGCTTCATGTGCAGATGGACATGACTAGTTCGGTAGTTCCTCGAATGTTTTGGTCTACTTTGATAGAACACGCGTTTTGCACCGGAGCCACCCTCAACTTGGCAGTCCACTATTTCAACATCGGTTCGCCGTAGGAGCTGCCTGGCGAAGACGGCCGAGTCATGTCCTTCTTTGTGGCGCGAAAGCGGAGCTGACCCCGGGCCGGGAGAGACTATTTAAAGGGGAAAGCTTCTCCCTGGTGTTCTTCAGCGATGAAAGCTCATTGTGGTCACTGAAGCCAATGCGCTGGCGAAAGCTATTGGCCCTGCAACAAGACGAGTTTTTCTAGCTCTTTTAGGCCCAAGCTGCAGTTTTGGAAAGCTTTGGACCGCCCATCTGAACATCACCTTGATTGCTTCAACACAGTGCGACATTGAAGGCTATGACTAGGCTATGACTGCTAGGCACTTCAGGTGCACGAGCTGAACCTTCGGCACTTTACCACGATGGCCTGGGACGTGCGTCGGGCAGATGTCCAGTCCGGCAAGCACGCAGGCTACTTCCAGATGAGGAATTGTGGAAAACCATGGAAGATCACAGAGAACAAGGCAGTACTCTCACATTAAGCAATCCCTGCAGACTTGCAGCCAAAATGGTGTATCGGCCGACTCAGGGTGGGTGGGCATTCTCAAGTGCAAAACTGTAGTGACCTGCTTGTGGGAGAGGTTTGCTGGACCCAATGTTCATTAGACTAGATGATATTGCCTTGCATCTCTCAATCTGGAAAGTTGCGTTTAGACTTGTGTCATTTACTTATAACTTTCATCCTGTCCTGTGGCAAAGAGTGTTTCTCATTCAGAATACATGTGTATATCGGTACAGGTTTCAAGTGACAGCGTTAGGACTGATTCTCCTGTGATGGTCAGAATACCCATCAAGACCCCATGGAGCTTGTACCTTGGTCTTCTACCCTCAGGCGTCAACCGCTCTGTGCTCCGAGCGCATGCAGCTGGAGAGGAGGTTTGTGAGCTGCCTGCCGGGTGTCCCTGAGGGTCAGACGACATGCTCTGATGTGGCCATGGGTCAAACGCAGGACCGTGGCGGTTTTTGAACCACTGTAAGATTTGAGGCACTTTGATGAGGCTATGTTGAAGAGATTATCGCTTGCCAGACTGTGCGTCATTCCTTTGCACTCGTATCAGTTCACCTGGGTCGGTCACTTTCATTTTGCATTTGTCGTGCCATCCTGAAAGGGTCCAGAAAGGGCCAACCGCTATCTTGGAATTCATTTTTGGTGATTTGCAGTATATAATTGCCACCACTGTTTGCAATGATCTAAGGATTGGCTGAATATGACACAGCTGACTGCCTTGAACTCTCGTCAAGGTGTTGGCAAGAACCTTTCCGGGGCGGTTTCATTGTGCAATCAATGAGTCAATGAAAGAAAGAAAGACAGAAAGAAAGAAAGGAAGAAAGAAAGGAAAGAAAGAAAGAAAAAACGAAAGAAATAGATAAACAATGAATCTCAACAGAATCAATCAATCAATCAAACAAACCAATCTATCTAACTTAGAACGAAAGAGACGTGGGCCTTGCCGAGATGGAAAGACGGTTTTGAATCTTGCTAGGATTGTGAGGGTTTGTCTGTCTTCCAGGCGAGGCCTCCTTGGACGGATCTGGTACCAAGGAGCCTGAAGTCGCATTGAAGCGGGGAGTCTCAAGGAAGCTTCAAGTCCCAAAGATTTCTTTCGGGCCTTTTGGCGAGATTGACTTTGATATGCTACTTTCTTGGACACCCACATTGACAACAAGGTTTGAGTTCTTTAGGAGAAGGGATGCTTTAGAGAGAGACAACACATGCTAAAGAACTTTTGTCCAAATCTAAGACAGTCCTCATCTTAATATTCCTCTTACACCATATGTATATTTGTCGAAATTTATGGTCTCAGCACAACTCACATCATGCTGTTCAACTTGCCCCTTTTGCCTCATTGTATCTCAATTCCTGTCAATTCGCTGCTCTCCCTCTATCTGTATCTCATGCTCACTTGAGACCTTACTTTAAGTGGCCTGTTCAACCGGCCTTATGGAGGCAGAGGTTTGCAGGTAAAGTCATGGGAAAGTGGAGGCAAATGTATGTACAAGGTGATTCTATGAGATTCTATATGTTACAACTACGCTACAACACGAAGCAATACACAAGACATACTGTATTATATATCACATCCACAAAACACGCTGCTGCAACCGGCCGGCGAATTGAACCGCATCATGGTTTTTAGATCTCAGGATCTCATATCATCGTTTTTTCGAATGGTGTTCCATCACCAAATATACCTGTTGCATCGGTCAAGTTTATACCGCGTTGGCATCCCAGCAAGGATCTACAGGTCTGTACTCGTTTTGCTTCATTGAAGCGTAGATGATCCCTGCTGAGGTATATATTCAAGTTTAATCCGTGTGCAGCTCAGAATCAGGATGGCAACAAGAGTTTTTTTTTTTTTTTTTTAACACCTCCGTGAATGGGACACACGCAACCTTGCTGAAAATTTGCCGCAAGTGAAGACCAAAGATATTACCCGAACCTACGGGTAAGCTGGAATTCTTTTGTCCCAGCGAGTTTGACGAAGCTTGGATTGGCGCATTTGATCTGAGGCTGCAAGGATACCTCGCAGATGGCGCCTCTCGCTGTGGGGGCTGGAGCGACTGGCGCTGCGCTCAGTGATTAGTTTGATTGATGTGGGTAGTGGACAGTTGCGTTCAAATTACATGATGTTGGGACCTTAATCTTCAGATAGTTCTTCAACAAGGTAAAGGTAAGAACGCAGTGTTCGGGTAGATTTGGATCTGCAAACAGCCCCGGATCAATGTGGGAAGCCAGGTGCTGTGTTTGCCACGCAGCTCAATGGCACCTCGGATGACCTTTGGAGTTGAGAGCTTTTGTTGGACGGTTCGATTCTGGCGGGTTTGCAACAAGCCTGGGTCATTCAGGTCATCCAGCCTGCATGAAAGCAACCTTTTGCGATCTTCTGCAACCCAACCAGTGCAACTACCACAAAGGTTGGAAAATGCTTGTTGAATTTTGGAGGCAGATTGCTTGCCTTCCGCAGACCGAGAAGGATGCAGTCGATTGGTTTCTCACAGAGGACGGGCATGTATAAAAAGACATCAAACACCGACATGTGAGCATCGTACGAATATGTTTGACCTCTTGAGTTTGACCAAAGGACTCCAAACCTGACCGTGCTGTGTTGGATGATGCTGCAAGGACTGCTGCGAGTCTAAAATGCGAAAGCTCCAACCTCAGACCGACTGCGACACCTGATTCAATGGCGGAATTCTTGCAAGGATAAGAATGACCAAGTGAAGACGAGCATGGCTTCTGCCCGTTTGTGCTAGGAGGATTCCAACTCTCTCAAGCTTTCCAGCTGTTTCCTTTCTGTTTCCTGAGTCACGTGGTAGAGAGCAACACGGGCAAAATGAAGAGCAGGGTGACATTCCTAGACTTGATGCAGGTGGAAAATAAAGTCCAGGATATCCAGACAGCAGTTCAATCCTAGCCTTTCCGCATTCAATTTCCGTGAATGCCATTGGGATCAAGTAAATCATTCCAACGTCTTATTGGAAGAGCCATTATGCAAACCCCGACCACCTTCACCAGGCGCTTCAGCGGTCCTAAGCATTGTTGCACCTCAGGGACACCAGCAGCCCTGGCTATGTGGCCGATGCCACCCCGCTGCGGGATTCTGTGGTGATGTGGCGACCCAACGTGCGGAGACTCAAGACGGACAAGGTCAGACCCCGTTTCTCATCAAGTCCTTCCCTAGGGTCGCTGATACCAAAGGTTGATCGTACACAGTCACTTGAGCCACTTGCCTCAAAATACTCAAAAGGGTCGGAACTGAGTTCAATCTTTAGCTGGTAGACACAATGGTCCAGTCTTGAACGCTTGCATCAAGAATGCTTCGTTAAACAAGACCCTACCAACCCTACCCTGTTCTTACCCAGTTCCTACTCTGTTCCCTCTTTACAGCAGCTTCGTCGGAGGTGGGCTGGATCGAACTGCCTCGGAGCATGAACGCGAGTGACAGCTGGGGATCCCCAGCATGAACGCAAAGTGGTGCTCAGAGAATCCACACATGATCCTCTGGATTAAACTGGGTTATGTATATATATAATATATATATATATAATATAATATAATATAATATATTATAATGTAATATAATATAATATAATATATAATATATAATATATTGTCGATCCAAAATCTGGATCGCCACTGGTAGGGATGGTCCGGTGATTGGGCTCTCACAATACAAAGTTGCACCTGTCTGAATTATACTCTGTTGGATTTCCCGCTTCCCTGAAGCTCAACCGTAGCGCAGCTTTTCCACCAAGTGCCCTGCACTGAGACTCCGGTCTCAAATGGCTCGGAACGTGGCAACACCTCCCACCCTCCCCTTGCTTGAGTGAGTAAGTGCCGACGAAGGTCCAAGAGCTGGTTCACGAACATGCGACATGCGAAATTGACATACCCAAACCTTTATTTTTGTCAAGCATGTTCGAACGAAAAGGTCCACACTGAGTGGAAGCTTGCATGGGAAATGATCTAGTACACATTTCTTGCAACCCCTAAGTACTCTTCAGAGTAACTTTCCCCTTAACTTGCGGTCCATGTTGAGTCTTGAAGATCTATCAATGATATTTCATTGATTTTCACACTTTTCAAGGCTGATTCACTTTCACAGTCTTCGCTGGGATCTTCTGGACCTTCTTCTTTCGGGAGGGCGAGAGTCAGCTCTCGTTTCAAGTGGAGACGTCTTGGCTTTTCTCTCACCATTCACGAGGCCGTGTCCTGTGGAGAGTGGCTTCGGATCCATTTCAAGTGAGCTTTTTGGTCGGAACGGTTTTTCAACATCTCATTTTTATCATTTAACTGGTATTTGCCTCTCTGAAGGACTTCTCTTAGAGACGTTGTGTCCATAATTTTTGTTAAACAATCGGCTACCTGAGCGTTTGATGGTACCCATCGAACAGTTACTCCGGTTGCCAAATGTTCTTTAATCAAGCGGGCTTGAAGCAAGGTCCTAAATTCCTGGCACGATGGTGGAGCAGTTGGACTGATCAGATCATAAAGGCTCTTGCAGTCTGTGGCAATCAACGAATCTGCTTTTTCCAATGTTTTGGAGTTTGAACGAATTACTGAGGCATACTGGAGGCTTCCTATAAGTCCCCTGAGAGACTGTCTTTCTTCATCGTTTATGGGGTGCATCCAATTGCTTTCGGCGATCTTTGTCGATGCTGATCGGGCTGATCTCTTTGACATATTGTGTTTGATCTACTGTGATTGAAAAGTCTTCGTATTGGTTGATTTGAAGTCCTGTGAACACAAAGTTCTTGGTCTTTCGACTTCCAAAGGGAAATATTCTTTCGAGTTGGTTGATCTTCTTGTGAAATTCTTGATCTCCGGCAAACAAACCATCATCTACATGAATCCCAATGAATCCTCGAGCTTGGTGGTCTTCATTGAACAGCGCAAAGCAACAGGGATCGAATGGCGCTGCCTCAAATCCCAGCTTCTCCAAAGCTAGCGTCAGCTCTCGGAACCACAACAGGGGAGCATTTACCAAGCTGTAGGCTCCCTTTAGGAGCCTGCAGATCTCATTGGGCTGGAGGTTCAGCCTTGCTCTGAGTTCTGGAGGTGGTTCAAGGCCAAACAATCGCGAATCTGCGCGACCCTCAAAAAGGCCGTTTTGATGTCGAAGCTTCCAATCTCCCATCGGTTCGAAACACATGTTTGGAGCAACAGGTTTCTTGAGAGTTTGGACAACGTGGGACTGTCCCGCTCTAGATTGCTGAGTTCTGGGTCCTGATGCCCCAAGATGACTAAACGAGCCTTGGCCTTTCGAGAGGCCGATTTGCTGTCTCCTCCTAAATAGGTATTATTCTCGGCGTCCTTCCATGTTAAAGTCCAACGGCGCTTTAACACTTGTTGCTCGGGTTTTTGATGCCTGAGGATTTTACATACAGTCTGTGTATCAAGCCAGCTTTGTATTTCCTTTTCTTTTGCATCTTTGAAAAGTTGTTTTTCCTCTTCCCGAAGGGTCGAAAGCTTCACCTCGGTTTTCTGTCTTTTGGCTGCCGACACCAGGAACGCACATTCCTCAGGGTGAGGGTCTCGCAGCGTATTGATGTCTTGAGGTCCTAGCTCCAGCTCAAATCTCCAGATTTGGTCAGACTCCGTCACAAACACCTCACTGAACAATTCGTCATCATCATCAGGCACAGGGATATTTTCTGGCGCTTCCGGTGTTTGTTGAGGTGGGACTTGCAATTCTTGTTGGTCTGATGGAACAATTGTTGGAGTGTACTCACCCTCTGAATTAGCAAATGATCTATCATTTGGCTCGTTCACTTCTGGTTCATTGTCTGGTTGTTCATTGCTTCGCTCTTCCTCCGGAGAGGAAGGAGGTGAATGACTTACCTGCTCTGGTATGAATGGTATGTTCACAAATCTCGTGTTTCCGGATCGAAGTTGCTCCAAGGTAGGTCCTAGTTCCGGGGATTCACACGTCTTCTGACGCTGAACTTCTTCAACTCGTCAACTACTGACAAAGGGCGAAGATGCTCCGGTGCAATCCTATACAATTTGTTTCCAAGTACTGCCCAAATGACATTCTTATCTTCTTGAACGATGACCTTGAGAGGTCCAAACCATTGACTCTCTTTACGCCAGGCCATAACCCAGTCCCCAGGGCGGTACACATTTCTTTGAGGCCTTGACAATTGATTCAAAGCTCGACGCAATGCTTGCGAATTGTCGCTTTGACAAAATGCCTTTCGAGCTCGTTCTCGGATGGCCAGTTTCTCTCGAAACTGAACTCCTTCAGGGGAGTCTTGCGTGGCTAGATCGAGGGATGCCTGAGAGCTGTCACTGGCGATTGATCCTGGACATATCCCTTATACCTGGACCATGTGTTCTTTGTTTGTGTTGCAAAAGACAACGCCATTTCTAGATCTTCCGTGGTTTGAATCCCCTTGCTTGGAGAATCCCCCCATGTCGTTCAACTCTGGCATTTTGCCAGTGAGCTTCGGGTGCAATCATTCTGAGTTTGATGTCGTGTTCTTGAAGGAACCGATGAAAGTTCTCTGTGCCGAGCTCAGTGCCCGAATCTACTACTAGGGTTCCCGGAGGTCCTGCCCAACTCACCCATCCCTGGGTGATAGCTCGAATGGCTTCTTGCGTGGAGTGACTTCTGGCCACGACGGCAGTGTGAAAGGTCGTACCCTGGTCTACAAAATGGTAGAAAAAGAACTGCTGACCCTCTTTGTTGGACCATTGATGCCGTCCATACCTACCACATCTCCAAAGTCGAGTGCGCTATGAATTGCACTTGGTTTTGCAATGTCCGGGTTCTTGGTCTCGGCGCACGTTGAGCATCTTAAGTCATCTATAGCTAAAGCGTCAATGATGTTTTGTTGGCATCCCATGTGTTGACAAAAGGTTTTCAGCTTACCTGGATTGGGATGTCCCATGTTCTTTGGATTTTCAGGATCCAGCTTCGTTCTTCAGGGGTCAACGCCAACATGCGAGGACCATGCTTGTCTGCTACCAGACCAATGGAATGTCGGAGATCCACTGCAGTTTGGGACGGATCAGGCGGCTCGGTCTGAACGAGCTTTCTTGTTTCCTCTGCTTCGGGTGCTGGCATCACCATGGCTCCGGTAAAGGAGTCTTCGACAAGGCTTGACTGAGTTGTGCGTGTCTTCTTCTGTTTCATTTCTTCTTTTGAATCCGGTAGTTTCTTCTTCATGAGGGGCCCGGGTTCTCGCAAAGATGGTTAGACCACATCGTGAGGGTGCACATGGACGTCTGAGTTTGCGAGCTGTGAGGTTCTCCCAAGGTTCCCATTCATCTTCAATCACTATTTCTTCGGGCGGATGCCGATGAACCTACGAATGGGTGCAATTCCTGGGGATATCTTCATGTTCGGTCCGACCATGCGATCCATGCCACGACAAAGGACAAGGTGGTTTACGATGTACTGCGGACAAAGTCGTTGGACTGCTTGCAATAACATTCCTTCGGTGACGACTTTGGGTCCTACCCGTGGGGCTTCCTCATCGACTGCTTTCATGATGGTGTCCCATGTGAGATTCGAAGAGAGCAACTGGATTTGGGCATCACTGCTTTTCTGGCTGAGTCGACGTCTTTTGGTCGGGTGATCTTCATGTTCTGCAGCAAAACTTCCCAATCCTCGAATGCGCTCTTGTTTTAGGCTTTGGATAATCTGACGAGCAAACTTTCTGGGATACAATTCGGTGAATTGGGACATAGACATGACTCTTCCTTTGACTCTGATAGTTCCCGCAATCTGTCGATGGTCATGCTTTTCATGGCATGTTCGGTCATGAAGGTTCTGGTGCAGGGACTTTGATGTGGTACACACCGTCAACCTTTTCCGCACATATCTTGAGGATTCGGTATCGCGCAGTGCGTATCGCGCAGTGCTCCAACTTGGCAAAGGTCAAAAGTGCTTGGTGTGGTGACTTGCAAAATCGGCCGAAAGCATGACAGTTTCAACACTTGAGAACCTCGCGGTTGTTCACAGTGAAAATGCCTACCATGTTCCACTTGATGTTGGCGCAAAAATCTGGCGAGACTGATTTGCCAGATGTGGTTCTTCCGGTCTCGCAAGATGGCGTCACACATTGATGCACTTTTGCTCATATTCAGATGGGACCATTGGCGCCAGGGTCCACATGTCGGGCTAATCCATATATGTTCAGGTCTCCCCATGCCCAAATGACAGAGAACATTTCGTCTTCCTGTAGTGGTGCTTAGGTCACCTTCTTGCTTTCCAAACCGTTTGACCTGGAGACCTTGTTGCAATCCCTGTCGAGTCAATTCACTTTCTGGGGAACACATTACTTCAAACAAGAACTGTCTTCGTGCTGATGGTTTGATGACTTTGGAAATTTGTTGAAACTCTTCTTGGATGGTACGAAGATGCTGTGAGCATATCTTATCATAGGCTTGTTGATTGGCCTTTGCAAAGTCATATTCATTCTCTGTTTTCCCAGAAAGGTCATGAGTTGGCTCAGATTGCACACTTGCTCAATCTCACCGCGGCTCAGTTTGGTTCCTCCTTGATCATCGTCCATGGACCCTGAGGTTCCTGCTTGATCTCGGATTTCTGCTCGAGGTGCTGGATGATCTGGGACAGCCCTGATTCGATTCGAGTCATGCGCAAATCTTATTGTGCCTGATGTCCCGAGCTCAAGATCTCTCCGAGTTGGTGTTCCTCGACGTCCCATGGATCTGACAGCGGTGGTGCCACCATCGGAGCTCCCTTGTCTTGTGCAGAATGGCGCAAGTAGGTTGGCTCCTTGGTCTCGGAGGAGCTGGGAAGGCCGAGGTTCGAGGCCCCTTCCTCCACTCGCAGGCTCACATAGCGGAGGTAGTGCAGATGCTCGATCTTTGGACTGTTCTCGTACGTGGCCACGAACCATTTTTGTCCAGCTCTGATCTTGGAAGGCTTCGGAGAACTTCAGACCGAGTTTGGCTTTTCCAAAGGCAATGGTCACGTCCTTGAGGCGAGCCATTGGAATTCGATCGATCTCCTGGCGAGCTTCCTGGTCATTCTCTTTCTTGATCTCGCTCTGGAACATGGCCAGTTTCTGACTGAGGCTCGACATGATCACTGATGGGAAGATCCAGCTGAGAGTGCGCGGCTTGAGAACTGAAGAGCTCCAAATTCGAGTTGTCGGAATCCTTTGCTGAGTTGGTTTTGGTTGTATCGAAATCGAGATGGTTGGTCACTGTGTCACTTATGGACAGACCTGCTGGAGGGAACACTGTTCTGTTTCCGTGCCGATGGTTTCGGACGCAGGAACTGACACTGTCTTTTGGACGGACAAGTCGGTCCGGTGCGAGTGGATCTTGTTCAGTCCCTGTACCTGCAACATGTCTTCGACATGCGAAACGTCCTGCGGCCACAGCTGGTTGATGTCCCAAAGCATCAAGTTGGAAGCTGATTGAGTCGTTTCTAAATAGGTTTGTAAGTATTTACTCCACAACGTTTTGGCTTTCAGTATCAATCACTGCTTGATTGGTTCGAAGAAACGAGCTTGAGAGCAAAAACGGAGTTGGGCCTGGAACGATCGCAATTCGAAACCATGTCTTACGCAATGGTAAGATCACAGCCATCTTACTGGTCAGCGTCTGATGATTTCCACACCTAAAGGTAAGGTTGCGCGATGTCTTTCGTATCTGTCGGCGGATGTCTTCGGGAATATTCGAAAGAAGCTCAGGTACTTTTTTGCTACCAACTAAAGCAAAGACTGGCTTCATCTTGCGCTGACCATTCGGCGAGTGGCTCTTTGGATGTCAGTCGAGACTTCGGAAGGCTTTCAGGTGCTGGGGCTCTTGACATGTTCTTTAGTGCAGGAATGCTCGATAACTTGACCTTAAGCCTAGCTCGGAGGTGCGACAAAGTGTCCTCAAACACGGCAAAACATTCACTCGTGAAGTGACTCTGAGGATCATGGTCGACCTCGGGAATGTCTTGAAGGCAGGAATGGATGTCGATCACGAATGAGGTCGGGACTTGATTGGCTTCACTGCCTGACGATGTCTTCTTGGAAGGACATTCTGCCTTCCAATGTCCGGGTTGGCCGCGCAACCTGCATGTGGAGTTTGCGATGCGGTGAGCGAGACCTTTTGACTTGCCTTTGAATCCTTTGCTGCGTCCTTTCTTTCCACCTTTGAAAGGCTTGGGAGGCCAAAAACCTCTCGATCGGGTCTTCTCCAGCAATCGTCGTCTCGCATCTTGGTAGCTGACAAATTGAAGTATGTTGCCAGCTCTTTATCATCTTGGATGGTGTCCATCACGGCATTCTCGAACTGGAGCACGAGGGAGGCGTCATCATCCTCCATAGCCAGCGTTTCTAGGCCTTCCTTGTCCACTGCTTCTTCGGATTCCCAAGTGGGGTCCTCCATGGATTCCTCTTGATCTTCAACCTGAAAGGCCATATGATCATATGTCTCCTGGCTCTTTTCACGCTTTCCTGAGGTGTACTCCTGGAAGAAGCTGGAGCCCAACATACGAATCGCAGCTGGCGCTCGTTTCATTTCCAATTCCTTTCCGGATTCTTCAGCGCCGGATTCAACCAAGACCCGCTTCTTGTCGTCCATCGAAAGCTTGCTTCCTCTCAGAATTATGTAGGCCTGGACTTCCGCGAGGTTGATCTTCTTCATCAACAATTCTGCCCAGACAACTTCTGATCGGGCAAGGTATGAATCGGCACTGTCATCTTGTTTTTGGCTGCAACGGAAGAGCGCCTTCTCCACGATGTCAAACTTTCAAACTGGCCGCCAACAATCTCCACTATTTGTGAAATACTCTCCACCGTTCCGCTAAGGAGGTCCTTCTTCTTCAACTGTAATTTTGCAGATGCTGAACCTTTGCAATTGAGGATAATTCTGGTGGCGAGCTCTCCCAGTTTGCCTTCGGGCCAGACTTGAGTCAAAAGCTCGATCTTCTGAGACCACTGCTCCACATTGTCGATCGAGGGATCGAATGTCGGGATCAATGCAGCAAGTTGATTGCCCGACAAGGATATTCCTGGGCCCAGTGTCGTGGTACCTGATGACTCTGGTATGGTCACCTCTTTTCAACAGCTGTAACCTTCAAGAACTCCCTGTGTGATCGCCCAGCAGCTCGGCTACCAATGTCGATCCCAAATCCGGATCGCCACTGGTAGGGATGGTCCGGTGATTGGGCTCTCACAATACAAAGTTGCACCTGTCTGAATTATACCCTGTTGGATTTCCCGCTGCCCTGAAGCTCAACCGTAGCGCAGCTTTTCCACCAAGTGCCCTGCACTGAGACTCCGGTCTCAAATGGCTCGGAACGTGGCAACACCTCCCACCCTCCCCTTGCTTGAGTGAGCAAGTGCCGACGAAGGTCCAAAAGCTGGTTCACGAACATGCGACATGCGAAATTGACATATATAATATGTAATATTATATATATATATAATATACTATATATATATATATAGAATATACACATATCTAATTGCTCTAGGCTTGGATCAGTCTTCACCCAATCCATCTTCAGCCATTCAGGGAATGGGGTCCTGAAGCAGATGAACCAAGGCTACCATTGGATGGCAGAGTATGGCGATGAAAGCTCGTGTCCACAGTTTGCCGGGCCCTGAACCCTCTGTGTACTTTCGCGCGCCTCAGTTAGGGAACTTGGCAAGCCGAGATGCTACGGCGGAGCCGAGATGCTACGTGACCACACTGTCTCAGAGAATGCGAGGAACAAGTTGTTCACCAAGGCTCCTACCGAGCTGTGGATGTCGCCTCCACTAGCTTCAGTGGCTTCGGCAGGGAGTCCATCCGCCCGGAAGCCAAGTCGTCGTGGAAAAAATAGGATCACGAAGCCAACTGTAACCTGTTTCAGGGCTTCTGCGACCAGTAACTGCAACTGTTTTCATGTTTTCGATTGCTTTGTAACTGCTTCAATCGGGTTTTCGGAGTGAAGGCCGACCTCCACAAGTGGTGGTGTGGGTAGAGCGTCAGAGTGTGCACTTCCACAGGTGCAGCGTGATCTGCATCCTCCGGGGTCAGCCTTGTTGGGGGCCCCAAGGCAGGCAACATTGGCAACTATGCAAGAAACAGCACGCTCTTCTATTGACTCTGACCTGTTGCATGGCATGGGCTCAAAGGCCTTGAGGGGAGGACGTCGATCTTGAATGAAGCAGCCATTTAGTATGAGAGAGTATGAGGGTACGCTGGAAGAGATGCTGCGTGAGAGCTGTGAAGCACATGCATTTTTCATCATTTTTCTGTAGGCTTCCAACGCACATGTAAGGCGTTTTCTTGTTAACCGGGGTTGGGTATAATGCAATCAGGGTTGGTTAGAATCATGCACTCTGAGGCCATCCAATTTGCAACTATTGCCATAAGGTTGCCATGTGAATCATTCATTCAGTGGCTATGCCATAATCGTCATACCTGCCAAGGTTGGCTAGAATGACTCAGTCAGTCAGGTGAATCATTCAGTGGCTATGCCATGATTGTCATCAAGGTTGGCAGAAAGACTCAGATACAAGCCAAGTTCAAGCTGCTATGATATTTGCTGAGTGACCATTTGCCGTTGTTACATGGAATGACGTGTAAAATTACTAATGCATTCGGGCCTCCCGTTGTGGACCTTTTTTTACACTCAGCAGAAGAGGAACATGTTGTGTTTTAAGTGGCGTTGTGCACATTTCACAGAATTTGTGACAAGTTAAGACAGCTTTCACTTTTCATTTGAACAGCACGCAATGCACCAGCTATGGTTTTATTTGACTGATTAGGGCGCCGATGTCAGGGGGCGCTCGACCTGCAGTACTTGGCGCGACGCCATGCGCAGGGCCAACAGGCTGTGCAGGCTGTGGATGACTTTAAAGCCAAATTCCACAGGTACGTTATGCTATCGTCGCTTGCCGACGCCCATGCCAAGCTTTTGGAATTCCAAACGGATGTGGGCTGTGGTGTGAACTCGCCCCTTGCCTCAAGAAGTAAAGCCAGGGCAGGGTCACTGCTGCTGTGTGTGGCTTGCGCATTGTTTGGGCGAGGCTTACCATTTTGATCTTGGACACTTCGGTGTGGCCAGCTCGACGTTCGGTTGGCGTTAATAATTGTGACCATCATAGTCAAGACTAGGTTGCGACAGTCAGCTTGCCTAATGAGCCCAGGAGGTCCACTGGTGGACGATGCTTTGGATGTGGCCAAGGGCATAAGCTGTGCGAACCCAAATTGCATCCTTTTTGTTCTCCTGCCCCAGCTGCACCCTTCAACAGAAAAGCCGGTGGTGGTCAAGAACCGCCGCGACATCGAGGACAAACTGATGTCGCCACCTGGCGCCAAGAATCGTTCATTTTGTGTTTCAGTGTGTCATGATCGGATCATCATTTTGTTGGGCGATCTGTGCTGAACCACCTGCTGTTCTAGGTCCATGGAGCTTACAGATGTTGCTTTGACATTTGGAGAGACGGGGCACATGGGTGACAAGCGGAAGAAGTCTCAACCATGCGGCCTGCCTTGAATAGTGTTGACGTTGGAAATTTTCTTGAACACCTGCCTTGGAAAGTTGATCAATGAACTGCTCTTCCCATGTTTGGAGGAAAGTGAAGTTGCTTTGCTTAGGCTTTCTTGGAGTGAGTTCACTGCACAAAGCTTTTGGCTTTTCGAAAAGTCGGGCCCTTCTGGGGACGCTTGGCCCTGTGGCGCGATCTAGAGTCTCTGATCTCATCTCTGATGACCCAGACAGGGTCTGCAGCCCTGCGCATAGGGTGTTTTGGCGACCGTTGGGTTGTACAGCTGACACTGAGTGTGTGTTTGTGTCATGAGTTCGGGTCGCCGCGTAAACTTGTTGTGGAATCTCAGGTTCAGCAAAGAGGAATCGAAGGAACGAAACAGATTCTGGTGAAACTGATGGAGGGGGTGGACTGTGCACCAGATTCCAAGATTTTTGTTTTCGACCTTGTTCCCAACAGGCTAGAGCTTTCTTTGCGTGTGGGTTTAAGTTCTGGCAGTTGTTTTTGTGTGGAGTGCGGCGTTTGAAGTTGGGAGGTTCAACGAGCTGGGCCGCGCAGCTTGGGAACTTCAAAAGGCCTTCAAGGAGTCAGGGAACACAGGCCTCAACTGGAGGTTTCTGAGCTGCGTGGACGCGGAGCAAGACTGGGCGTTGGCAGATGAGATGAGGGCGGCAGAGAATCAAATGAGCGGGCAAATCTACTCAGTCTGATGCTCAGGCTGCCAGTGATTGTATTTTTTGAAGTAGTAGTTTGAACGCTACGCTGATGCCTTGTTGCAGCGAGTGAATTAGGAGTGGTGGGACCGATTTTCTACAGCAGGTCCTTCGGCCAGGCCTGGGACTTCTTTTGCAGATCCACTCCCTTCGCTCCGGCTTTTGGCATTTGACCGCGATGCGAATGAGTTGAAGTTCCTGACCTGAGCTTGTGTTCTCCTGAGTTGTGAGTTGTGAGGCTTTTGTTTTGCTACTGGGGCATGTTGGCCAAGGTTGCCGGCCGAGGTGGAGACCAGACTTGATATCGCCTTGGATGGTTTGAAGGCAGAGTTGCGTGCTTGTGTTGCGGATGCCCCTCGCCGACCTGGAAGTGGCGATGGGCCTCCAACTCCAGTCCGGACTGCAGTCCGGCCAAACTTTGCAGGTGGAGCGGACGCTCCCAAGAATTGCAACTTGAACATCGAGCCCTCTGTTGTCTTGTCTGTTGATGAGTTTGCAGCCGAGAAGGTGTTTCTTGGATCAGCGCTGATAATGACCTGTGCGTTGAAAAGTTATACTTTCTGATACTTTCTCTACATTCAATGACCCTCACCTAATGACACATGCCTTGAGGTTGCACGCCAAGTGCCAGGCAATCGGCGACGATGCGATTCACGTCGCAGTCACTACAGACAATGATCTTTGGCTGGTGAATGAGTCTGGTTCACCTGTCAACATGAAGTGCTGTGAGCTCTTTGGCTTTGGAGTTGGCGCCTTTGTTCCTAAGCCGACAGGACTGTGGTTGCTGTAGGGACTTTGTGTTGGGGTTTTGGCGCAGCAGCTTTCGTGCCATCTAGCGGTTTGTCAGTTGGTTCCAGGAACTGCTCGGGCAGAGGCTGACAAGTTTATCCCATGGTTGGTGGGATCAGACTTGAATACCATCATTCATGTCAGTGACGGTGTGAAAAAGCCTCTCTCACTAGCAGATCTGGCGTGTGACCTGACTCAGCGTCATAGGCTGACTGAACTCTCATTGGTAGACCACAAGCTGACGCAAGTCGTTGAGGACAGCTTTTTTTTTTTTGCTTAAACACTCCGTGTTCTTTTTTGCTTAAGCGCGTACTGTTTTGCAAATCGTTTGTTTGCAGAACGGTGCCCTAGATGTTTCGCTATGATGTGCAACCGAACCCGCGGACCAACGTCTTTGAGCACAAGCCTGTTGGGGAGAGTGTTGACCGCAAGACAATTCGAGCGACTTTGTTTGGCGCAGTGCTGACGAAAGTATCGCTCCCAGATTTGGCAATGGGCCAGATTGCGTGGGAGGTCGCTTTGGCCGCAAAAAAGCACACAATGACAAGCGCTTGTAGGGAGGCATTGTTTCGCTTGATTCTGCTTTTGGTGTCCAGCTGGGCCTGGGTTGGAAGTGAGGTTGCAAGAGAGCACACCACCATCAAGCCGCACAAGCCCAAGTACTGGCTGACGTGTGCGTTGACTATTCCTGCCAGCTCTGTTGTTAAAGTCAAGTGAGGAAGGGCAGTCGCCCTCCCACTGATTTTGAGCGAGAGCAGCAAGTTTTTGGGAACAAGAACGGCGAACCCCAAGTTGACAAGAAGCTCAGACTCATTGTGTTTAGGTTTAGGTATGTCAGATTTAGAAGTACGGTGTTTGGGGCTCTGCTGTTGAGTTGCTTGAAGGCCGTTCGGTTCTTGACTCAGACCGAGCCGGTGACAACCAGCCTGCCTTGCTTTGCTCTTTTTGCGCGCGCTATTGGTGCAAGCAGCTGCCTTTCCATTTTGATTTATGAGATCTTAGCTTTTTGGATCACAATATAGACGTAGTAGGAAGTCTTTGGTTCTTACTCATAGATGGAGCTTGGTGCAGTAGACGAGTTGTCTGACGCTGAGATAGAGCAACCCCAGCCGCAACCCAAAACTGCCGTGAAAGCCAAACCTGCACCAAAAAGCAAGCCTGCCGCAGCGCCACTGCGGAGGAAGCAAGCGTTAGTGCGCCGCAAAGTACCCAGTCGCAGGCCCCACAGGTGAAAGCAAAAGGAAAAGCAAAAGCAAAGGCTAAGGTCGTAATGAGACGCCCTGCTGCTGCGCCATCGGCGCATTCTGAAGAGGTCACAGTCGCAGCGAAAGCAGCGCCATGCCGTCGCCCAGCTGCTTCGGGTTCTGCTGCTGGGTTGAAAGTGATCAAGTACAAGTACCATAAGCTCAACAGATGGGGGATCAAAGTCAACGGCAGAGAGCAAATGACGGCGGGGAACAGTTGACCAATAGAAGACCCAAGCACAGAAGGATAAACCACTCTCGCTTTTTTTTGAGACCATATGTAATATTTGTTCCACCCTGAAGGTGAAATCTCGTGAAGGTGTCTCAGAGGAGAAACACATGGACGTTGCCGCACCCACCTTAGGTTTTCACTGGTTCTCCAATAATAGGTGTCACAGTGTGTATGTCTTGTTGATTTTCGCTTAGGAAGCTTGCAGGTTGGAGTTCAAGAAAGGCAGGAGCAAACAAGAGGTCATAGCTTTGGCAGCCACTTGCTTGCCAACCAACGACCGCCATTGAGAACTTACAATTGAGATATGAAAGGCATTGCTTGATTTTCCAGCGTTCAATGGCTACAAAAACACGACCATTGCAAAAGTAGCGTAGTATAACAATCAATCAACAATTGAACACAGTGAGGATATGATGATGACAGCAGCTGTGAACGACACCGCAGCTGCTCCAGCTCCACCTGAAGAGGTACCTGATGCTGACATGGAGGGTGGCGAGGAAGAACTTCCTAAGGAAGAAGACAATGAAAAGGAAGAAGTCGACTGAAAAAGTCGCCGTCCGTACTTTTCC